TTTAATGAAAGGTCTCGACAAGGACAAACAGACTTGAATGCAGGCTTCCTGAAGTTCGGGGCGGGGGGGGGCGCAGAGGAAAGAAACTGACGCCACTGAAAAGCACAGAAGTTGGAAAGCAGAGACGTACCAGGGAGCCGGCAACCCTGCCATACTTTGATACCATCCATATCGCTAGGTATTTTTCACAGACTGTAAAATATGTAACGTGGCCTTTTTAAAAAAAAAAAAAAAAAAGCAGGTATAAGTTGGACTATAAAGACTATAAGGAAGGCTGAGCGCCGAAGAATAGATTCTTTTGAACTATGGTGCTGGAGAAGACTCTTGAGAGTCCCTTGGACTGCAAGGAGATCAAATCAGTCCATCCTAAAAGAAATCAACCCTAACTGTTCCCTGGAAGGCCAGATAATGAAACTGAAGCTCAGATACTTTGGCCACCCAATGAGAAGGGAGCACTCACTGGAGAAGAAGACCCTGATGCTGGGAAAGATTGAGGGTCAAAGAAGACGGAGACGGCAAAGGATGAGATGGTTAGACAGTGTCATAGATGCAACGAACATGAAACTGAGCCGACTTCAGAGGACGGCGGAAGACAGGAGGGCCTGGCAAGATCTTGTCCATGGGGTCGCGAAGAGTCAGACTCGACTGTGTGACTAAACAACAAATAAGAGCAACAGTCAAAATGCCAAGTCTCTGCCCCACAGAGGGTGCAGGTGCGTTTAGAAGGGGGGGGACAGGCGCAAGACAAACAGAAGCAACTGCAGGTGGCACGGAGGACTAAGAGGGTAAACGCCAATCTTCACAACGGGTTCTGAAGAGGTCTCAAAACCATGTGCCGGAAGTTCCTTTATCACAAGGCCAGAATCATTCCATTTACTTCATCTATACCCCGACCTTCCTCCTCCAATAGGTCCCCAAAGCGGCTTACGTCATTCTCCTCTCCTCCGTTTCATGCCCCTAACAACCCCGTGAGGCAAGTTAGGCTGAGGGTGTGTGGCTGGCCCAAGTTTCCATGGCATAGTGTGAGGATTCGAACCTGGGTCTCCTGCGTCCTAATCGGACACTAGCTACTACACCAGGCTGGCCATTTGAACCACTCTGCCATGCACTGCTTGCCTTTCACGGGAAGCGGAAAGGACACAGAATTCTCCTCTTCTACCTTTCTTCCTCGGCTCACCTGTTTATTAGGTACCTGTTTAAATCCCATCTTGTCTAGAAGTTCATTGAGGTCAGATTTGACAGGGAACCAGTCCCAGCATGAGCTGCAAAAGTGGCTGGCTGTTTTTCAAAGCCACGCCAATGCCACATACTCAACGACATATTTCTAGGAGCTGCACAAAACGGACCAGGCACCAGCCACATACTCAACGACATATTTCTAGGAGCTGCACAAAACGGACCAGGCACCGGCCACATACTCAACAACCTATTTCTAGGAACTGCACAAAACGGACCAACCGAGCGCCCTGTAGGTTTAAACAGCTGGGATGTTTTGCATCACCTACGGCACTGCTGTTCCCCAGGATCCTGGGGCAGAACGACTCCGAACACGGAGGTCCCATCAGGCACGTAGCTAGGGTTTTAAAGGGGGCAGTGAAATTACACTTAATTAAATGAATCGGAATGCCTGTCTTTAAAGGGGGAGGCTCCGAGCCTGTTTCTAACCCTTCATTTCAAGGAACAGGGTAGCGAGTGCGTCAGTTCAAAAGAAAGAAAACAACAATTCAGAGGGCCTTCAATTGCCTTCAGAAGGCATCCGAATGCCCTCCGAGTTCCCTTCCACAGGGCAAGAAAGGTTATAAGGGCACTCAGGAGCAGTGTTCCCTCTAAGCTGAGTGAGTCTGAGCTAGCTCACAGTTCTTTAGCCTCCGGCGCACACGTTGTCGTCTTAGCTCAGGAAGGACGGCTCCAGAGCAGGCTAACTGACACAGCAGCCAAACGGCGCGCTCACAGCTTTAACGCCAGTAGCTTACAAAGCAGAATTTCTGCTCACAAGACTCCACAGCTTAGAGGGAACATTGCTCAGGAGTGGTGCCTTCAGTACATTCAGTATCGGAGCGGAACACCTTCAATGTATCTCCGACATCTTTCTTGTGCCCTGTGAAAGGGAACTCACGGGGCATTTCAATGCCGTCTGAGCTGTCTTTTCCCAGGTCTCATGATGCCCCCCCCCAAAAAAAAAATTCCACAGTGGGAGGGAGAGGGAAGCCCGAGGGCAGGCCGTGGTGCTTTCACCCTGGGCACTGCCAGCAACGGTCTCTCCCAATGCTCCCTCTAAGCTGTGGGGTCTTGTGAGCAAAAATGCTACTTTGTGAGCTACTACTGGCATGAAAGTTGTGAGCCGGCGATTCGGCTACTGCATCAATAAGCTTGCTCTGGAGCCCTCCTTCCTGAGCGAAGGCAAAAATGTGTGAGCCGGAGGCTAAGAAACTGTGAGCTAGCTCACACTCACTCAGCTTAGAGGGAACACTGGACTCTCTCCTCAAAAATAAGAAAAAAATTGATTATGGAACATTTTATTTTAACATGATGAATAAAATATTTTAAGACAAGGTGTTCAAATATTTTCCAAATCATTTCTAAAAAATATGTATGGTATCAGATTGATCTAATTTCTGTGCACTGAGGACAAGCAAGTCCTAGGTTACAAACTGAACTCTCCCATGCAAGAACAAGATGCATTTCTTCCTTTAGGAGGTGCGATTGTCAGAAGAAAATAAAAAGGTTTCAGTTTTGTTTTTGCATGTGGGTGGGTATTCTGTTTGTAATAATTGTTTGGATACACTATATTTTTAATATACTAGTTGTGATAATTTCATGCCAAATAAAAATGTCCATAGTCATATTTTCTGTTCCTAAAGTAACAGAATGACTTTAAATCTAGAAAAGACAAAAGAAATGCTAATGTAGCATTTTTTTCAATTTTTCCAAAAACTTCCGTTTTTTTCCGAGCTTCAAAATTTCCAGAAATTTTACATCTCTAGTCCCATGTAGTTCTCGCAGCTAGGATCTCTTGAGACGCCAAATCCTTTTCTCAGGCAAGTCGCAGGAGAGGAAGTTGCGCCAGTGCTTGGGTGCTTCGCTGGATTCCCCAAGAGGCCCTCAACAAAACCACAAAGTTACATCAGCCTTGCAAAATTACTGCTCTCGCTGAAGCAACACAGGTACAGCGGGGAGACGGGGCTACGGACGGACGACAGAAATGCCAAGCCGCTCTCCCCTCCCCGCCCCACTCCGCTCTGCTCCTTGAGTGCTCCCCTTGTTCCATCTCGGCTAATGGGCTCAAACAACCAAACCGGAAGCTCTCTTTTAAACAATGAACATTTATACTTCCCCCGTCTTGTTTTCCTCAGAAAGGGCGAGCGTTTCTCTTCCAGCGCACAGCTCGCGAACACCATTGCTTTCTTTCTCGGAACGCAGACTCGCTGGACCCTCCGAATAACTTCGCCTTCGAGAACAACACTGCTACATCCGATCGGTGAAACACCCTCCAGTCCTCCATCAACATTTCTTTTCCGTAATCAATCCCTTGCTGGCCTGATGCTGGCCTGCAATTTTGCCCGTTCCAGCAACAGCGCAGCTCAGTTTATCGCTGCGGTCCTTAGACCGGTCAAACAAAAAAGAAGTGCACATTTTACAAGATTCCAAAACTTTAAACTACATCAGAAAAACATTAAAAAGCAAATTAAATTTAATCTCAAGAAATCTAGCAGGATTATTTTTCCAGAGAGCACCATGATGTGGTGCTGCCCATGCACAGGTGACTCCTCTCCAGTACCGTAGCATTCAACTACCCTACTGGCACATGCTGAACTACTTATGGCTAGGCTAGCATGTGCAAACACCACCAATGGTAACTCCTCTCCCCCCCCC